CATTCGTTACCGTTACCAAAAAAATGTAACTTCGTTACCGTTACAGTTACCAAAGAAAAAAAGTAACGCAGTTACTAGTAAAGTTACCAAAAAAGTAACTTGTAACTGTAACTTCGTTATAAGTAACGAGTTACTTCCATTCCCTGACAGTAACATGTATTGTCTCCGCGTTGCTCGATTACTGCTTGCAATCGATTCCTTATAATTAAATTGCCTAATTTCTTCCTGCGGATTGTCATTACCTGCAGATTTGTATTAGAACTTATAATAAGTCTCTGAGATTGACAGGTTGTCCTGCTGAATTTCTTAATCTATGACCCATTATCTAGTACAAATTTGGAATGACATTCCGCAGAAAGAAATTAGGGTCTGCATTAAAATATGAGAAATCGATTGCAAGCAGTAATCGAGCAACGCGAAGGCAACATGCGTTATTGAAATTTACACGTATAAACACGATGTGCAAAATCTACACACACACACAAAAACACGATGTGCAAAATCCATCTAGCAATGCTCCTGGTCGTAGTGCATATCCGGTAATGCAGGTAATGTCGGTAGTATATGTCAAAACGCAAGAGTAACTTTAAAGTGCTGTAACTCTGCGAAAAAAATCGCAACTCGTTTTTTTTTTTAAATTAAAAGGAAGAGTTCAAATTTTAGGTGGCTGCACATGGCATTCCCCTAAACAATTTTACAATGTCCATGTATTCCGTCGAACTTTGCAATTTTCAATATAACAATCACATCCTCATATTTTGAGGGTTACAGTGACAGGGATGCATCAAACTTAAAATCCAGCCAGAATGTCTTAAAGTAGAGATCTTAAGCTTTAATTTAAAAAAAAAATAATATCCTACGATAATTTTTCGCAAAGTTATTGTTAGTCAAAGTTGGCTAATTTTTGCCCATAATTTTTCTATGCCATAATTTTTTTGAGCAGTGTATTATATTAGAGTGAATCAGAGTCGTTAAACCTATTTACCCTATGAGAAAATTATTGACTGCACACGTTATAATCCAATTAGGTATGAAGTCGATAATTTTCTTATAGGGTAAAAAACTAGTTCAACGACTTTGATTCACCCTGTATATAGGATGTAATACAAGTACATATATATGCGCTTGCCTGTGCGTGCGTGCGTGCGTGTGTAAATAGATACAAAGAAAATAATAAGTATGTTAAAATATTTTATATTTTTTGTATATTTCCGTATGTTGTTCTATGCGTATTAACAAGATAATTAAGTTTGTATTGATATTGTTATGAAAAGTTAAATCTTTTCAATCGTATATAGTACAGATAAAATTTATACATATCAAATAAAATACATTATTTATTATGAAATTAATTAGTAAGACATATTTAAATTTTAACAAATTTGTATTGATATAAATAAAAAACTGTATAAGATATTTTTAGCAAAATATTAATGCAGAGAAAAGCTCAACATATATAGCTTTCCATATACTAAAATTTAAAAAATAAGCCGTACAAATTAATGATAGGATCGAATAAATATAAGTAGCGAAATATTTTTTAATAATTTACAAACCAATTAATTTTTCAAAGATCTTACCCTTGCATAATCTTTTTCCAAGGTACAAAACGTGCTACTTGCTGAGCTTCCTTCCAAGGACAGTTGACTGCTTTCACTTTCAGCCTAAAAAGTAGCATCATTTCATTGCCATTTCGATATGACGTTTATCCAAATCACAAACAATTCGATAAAGACATTCAAGGTAAAACAAAATTACATTAGTATAAAATCTTTCGTGCTCTTAAACAATTTTGAATATAAATTTGAAAAATGTTTAATAATATGAAAACCTATCATAAAGAATTAAATAATAAGTTATTATTAAATTATCAAATTATTAATCAGGTGCTTTCAGGAAAATTAGCGCTGTTTTACATCTGTCCTTATTTTTCATCTAATAAACGATAAAGGTAAAATATAATGTAAATGGTATTAATATGTCTTCTGAAACGCATTTAATATATATTTCTATATAAATGATAAATGATTACTTACACCGTCAAGTTCAGCATTCATCTCCATATCCATCATGATCGATAAGATTAAAATATATCGGTAAGATTAAAATATATTATACATATATATGCAGATAAATCTTATTTTATGCAAGATATTGTCACAAAACGCTAATTTATTAATTCTTCAAAATTTAATTTATGCTTTATGAATTGCAAACTTCTGCAAAATTCTAAACTAGTTAACCACTTTAATTCCAAATAACATTTTATGCAAATGTATTGACAATATGAATGTAGCAATGTTCCGTGCTGTTAGATATTGTGATTTTAAGTTGTTGACTAGTCACTATGACAACAAGACACTTTTGTAGCATACATACATTAGGTTTGGTTTTTTTCTCTGCACTAGTGTGCACTAGTGCTGCACTGAACTAGCACTAAATCGGACTGCAATGATAGAAAATTGTACTAGTGCAAGATATAAAAGAACGTACCAGTACAGTAACTAATATAGCGTATCACGTAATGGATCG